ATATATGTCAAGCAAGTAAACTAGAGAGCAAACATCGACCTCTTTTCAAGTCTGTTTCCTTCATAGGAAGGAAACCCAGGATCTCAAACCCAGGATCTTATGCATGCTAGGCAAGTACAAGTGTGTGTGTGTGTGTGTGTGTGTGTGTGTGTGTGTGTGTGTGTTAAAATAATTCACAGAAAAACACTAGACAAAAGCACTGGACATGCTGGCATGCGCTCCCAACCCAGGCTGATGTAGGACTGTTACACTGGGCCTCCCCACAACACAGCGACCCAGTAAACCCTGTCTTGGAGTAACAAGTAACCAAGGGCTGGGGAAGCAGCTGGGCGAGAACACCTTGGATCCAACACTCAGTGTCAAAATAAATGAAACAAAACGACAAAAACTAGACAGATACACACAGCCTGGATCAGATGTATACACCATGGACAGATTTGCACATTTGTGATTTATCATAGATAAGCACACACACATGTGTTCATACGCCTATGTACATATATATTTATATACATTTATATGAAGTTTTATACTCACCAAATGTTTATAGTTAACTATGGAAGAAACATACTGACTGCAAACATCAAAAAGTAAACACACACAAACATATATAACCAACACAGACTCTTATTAAGTTAGGGCATCACTTCATTAGTGTAAAGCACTCTAAACCCATCCTGAGAGGCCTAAGAGAAAGTGTTAGCTTTAACTACCAAAACTTCTATTGTGTGTTGCATTTTAGAACCATTAGCATACAAAGGAAAAAGTGCCATTCAATTTTTTTTGTTTGTTTTTTGTCTTTTTTGAGACGAGGTCTCCCTGTGCAGTTCAGGCTGGCCTTGAGCTCACTTTGTAGCCCAGGCATGTCTCGAACTCACAATGATCCTCCCACCTCAGCCTCGTGAGTGCTGGGATTACAGATATGAGCCACCATGCCTGGCATCATTTTTTTTTTTTTTTAAGACAGGGTTTTCCTATGTTTCCCAGGCTGACCTGGAACTCATAGCAATCTTCCTGCCTCGGCCTCCTGAATACTGCAATTACAGGTGCATGATACCACACCTGCCTTCAGTTTTTCTTAACCAGGAATCAAACTCAGGACCTCACACTTGCCAGGCAGGGCACTGTACTGCTGAGCTATATCCTTCGCCCCTTCCATTCTTATGTGATTTTTGAAAACATGTCAAGTAACATTAAGTAAAGACAAAAACATTTCAAGAAGATGAAGAAAAAAAATTTTGGACTTCCACAACAAACTAGAAATTGCTTGATTTCTGTAGGCAATTCACAAAAATTATATACTGCTATGAAAAGAAGGTATACATAAGAAAAATCTGGTCGGGCATGGTGGCACATGCCTGTTATCCCAGCACTCAAGAGGCTGAGGCAAAAGGATCACCACAAGTCTGAGGCCAGCCTGGACTACACAGTAAACTCAAGGCCAGGATGAACTACACAGTGAGACACTATCTCAAAGAAAAAAAGAAAAATCTGACATCCTTCTTGCACTCAGTAAAGGGAAATGAAACTCTAACACAGGGGTAAGCACCTTAACATGTCATTCATTTTATCCAACAAATACTCGTTCCTATCTATAAGCACCAGGCACTGAAGACAATCCCTGTGCTCATGCATATAATGGTCAAAGTGAGGTAGGGTCTGGACATAGTAAATAAAATTATCAGATGTGCTATTTAACTATTGCTATAAGAAACGCCATAAAACCACATATGGTAACACACACCTATAACCACAGCACTCAGGAGGCTGAGGCAGGAGGATTACTGTGAGTCCAAGGTCTGTTTGAGCTACACAGTGAGTTCAAGGCCAGTCTGTACTATGCAGTGAGATCCAGTCTCAAAAAAAAAAAAAAAAAAGAAAGACCCAAACTACAAAAATACAGTTTGTGGGGCTGGAGATTTAACCCAGTGTTTCAAATGCCTGCCTGGTAAGTGTAAGATCATGAGTTCAATCCTTGGTACAAAAATAAATAAATAAATAATAAAGATACAGTATGTGACAAGAGCAGAGGGCGGACTGGGGAAGATTACAGAAAACTGGAAGAACAGGAGGGGGAAGCTGTATTCCAGATGCTTCTCTCATTTAATCTGTGCTCTATGCTCTAGGGTGAGTCACTTTCCCAAGGTCACAGGACTAATGAGTGTCAGAATCAGGCCTTGACACCAGGGTCCAGACTTCTCAAAGTTCCATGCTGCTTCTTCCCAAAACTGGTTTCTTTGAATGTGAGTAGGAAAATGTCAATCCCATCCCAGAATCTGACTCTCTCCTTCAGATTGGGCTCTGCTTTCCTCCTGCCACCTCCAAACTCCTGTTCACAGCTCTGTAAATGTGACAGGTTCATCCTAAGCATAATCTCATGCAGTAACAATAACAGATTACTTCCAAGGCTTTGTTTTGCTTTGTATTTTGGTTTTCACTTTATTGTTGTGTTGGAGACCACTACAAAGCGAGGCTCTGAGCAGGATTTAAATTTTACTAATTGGCTTTCTATGTTTATCTGTGAGTCTGTCCTAGGCCTAGCTAGGCCCCTTGCCTGGCGACAGGAGCTGATTCATAGTAAGTGAACCTCTATGAATCACTGGTCCTGGCTAAGGCCTGTAGTGGCCTGTGATTCGAGAGATACCTCAAAGGGCAAGATAAGGCCACAGCTGTGGACACTTGGCTCCAACCCCAATTAACTAGGTAGAGACTGCAGCTGCAAAGATTACTCCTACAGTCTCACTTCTACCATGTCTTCATGATAAGACAGTGCTACTGAATTGACTTGATTCATTACTTGGAGATGTCCCTGAAGTAACTCCCAAGGTTCTGCTCATTGCCTGCACTTTCCTCAGTTTCTCTGCCCTTTGCCTTTGGTCCTAATACAAGTGAACTGACCCAGAAAATCTTTGGTCTTTTCCCTCGAAGCCTCGAGCTTAATTAAAAGGGTTTTGACCCTCCTGGAGCCCTAAAAATCATATGATTTGTCTTTTTTTTTTTTTTTTAACCTCCGCTGTACACTCATTTGGGAGATCAGGGATCTAGGATAGGACTCAATATTGTTGTACTGGGGGCTGGGGATTTAGTTCAGCGGCATAAGCGCCTGCCTTGCAAGCAGGTAGTCATGAGTTCAATCCCCGGTACCGATAAAAAAGGAAAAAGACAAAAAAAAAATATTGTTGTACTACAAAGAACTTTCTGATAACTGTTTTTTTTTTTCTTTCTTTATTTGTCTGCTTTGTTTTTATAGTGCTGGGGCTCAAACCCAGGACCTTGTGCCTTTAAGGCAAGCACCAGACCTACTGCTGAGCTATGATCCCTGCCCCTCCAAGTGCTAAGTGCATAATCTACCACTAAGTCACAGAACCTCCCAGGGCAGTTTCATAAAGTAATTCACAGGGAATAAAACCTGTTAAAGAGCCACAAACACTAATCAGGCCAACAATTTAGAGAGAAAAATAAAAGCAATTACATAAAGAGCAAAGAAAAACCCATACTTTCACTTCTGAAATGACTTTCACCTTCAACAATTCTCATCTATGATGTGTATATCTACCCCAGTGGGCTGTCCTTCCCTTCCACCAGTTGCTACTTTCTCTTTCTCAGCTCTCTCTTCCTAGGAATATTGAACTTCAAAACAAGGCTTCTGTTACACTGTATCTGTTGAGTTAGAACAGTTATAAAGACCAAATATGGTAAGCTTCCTTTTTCTGCTACATTCTTATGATTTTTCACCCTGTTTGAAGAATATGCTAGATCCTTTAAAACTGACCACAAGCAGATTATTAACCACTTAAGTAAGGCTTTTCTTTCCCATCTCTACAAGGTAGCAAAATAAAAATAAAAGTTTATCCAAAAACGTCAATATTCTACCTTTACCTCTTTTTTACCTAGGGCTGGAGTAGGCTGAGTTGGCAGTTAGTGCCATCAACAAGGTGGCTATAACAATCAGACTGCCACAAATTCAGTAACTCACAGCTTTCTGTTTAAAAATATACATGTAAGCACAGACAAAGAGCAAGAGAACGCACTATATAGGAACAATATGAGGATGAACGTTAAAATGTCTTACAAAAGCTAACACTGACTTGGAAAAAAAAAAAGTAATACTCCAAGATCTGATGCAGTTTTTCGAGCCGGGTTACAAATAACAGTCGTTTCTAATGGCAAGTCCCTAAAGTGCAAGATATGCAGTATTAAACCCACAAGTATTACATGCTATCCAAGAAGCATAGATTAACTTTTTTTTTTTTTTTTTTTTGGTCTTTTTCCTTTTTATCGGTACCGGGGATCGAACCCACGACCGCCTGCTTGCAAGGCAGGCGCTTATGCCACTGAGCTAAATCCCCAGCCCAGATCAACTTCTTGAACGTTTCGCAAAGTTAACAGAGGAAGATGCTCCAAGACCTAATTACATATTGTTCAAGAAACTTATGGATTATTAGATACAACAATGCATAAACCAAAACATTATCATTCGGTTAATTACACTGTTTATAAGGTGAGTTTGTATTTTGGGATTCTCTGTGATACTTTACAACATAATTGCATACATGGTTTGTATAGCCTGGTGAATCTCCTTATTGAAAGTAAACTACAGGGAAATGTTTTATTATTCATTTATTGCTAGTCACGTTGTTCATACAACACCTCCGTATGTAACGTTCTCCTGGACTGTAGTTACTAGATTGCCCATGTAGTGCCACCAAAAACCATCGTTCAACATGCTCTTCCCCCGAACAGGTCTGAAGAACACGAGTTGAACACCACACATAAGAACTTCTATATGATAAAGTATTGAATGTCTCCGGCCCTTAATATACCAAGCACCCCCCCTTCGCAAATGACAAAGGCACCAACCAATCGCTGAGCAGGATCCTAATGTCTTAGCCAATAAGAATACGGGGGTGGAGCTAAACTAAGCTCTCAATGACTTCCCCACACCCCGAGACCCAGGCTGTGGGAGCTGGACGGAGAGTGGAATTCGAGGATCTCGTTACCCTCGGATGTAGCTGTTGTCCTCCTCGTTCTCACAGTCACTGCAGTGCTCGTGGCTGTTCCCATTGCCTTCCATCATCTGCGGCCGCGGAGGTGCCGGCGGTTTCACTGCTGCCTCACTCTCACCCGCCATCTTGAGCTGCCAGCGCCGGGCTCCGCGCCCCGTTATAAGGGGCGCTCCTATTGGACCAGCCCGGCTTGCGCTGTATTCTGGGTGTTGTAGTTTTCTAGTGCTAAAGAGCCGCCCATTCCTGAAAACCCGAAAAAGGTGGACTACAATACCCAGAAGGCTACGCGGCCAGGCGAACTCCCCAGAAGCACCATGTGCGGCCCACCTTTGGGGGAAGATGCCCCCAGCCCAGCAGCTTGCCGGGAATTGTAGTATGTGTTGGCTTCGGGTTGAAGGTGTGGAGGGTCCAAAGTCTGTTGTCTTGAACCTGCCCCTTGCCCTCCCCGGGCCTCAGAGGAGCCGTTATGAGCTGCTTTTAAGGACCGTTACCATCCCGGGTACTCTGTGAGAATTTAAGCCCCCTGTCTTCCTCAGCGGGCCCCTGGATGGCCTTGGCCTCCGGGAAGGTGTGCACCCCCTAGGCCTGAATATCGCTGCGCCTCGGCCTCCAGTTACCAGGCTCCCCAAGCTCGTTGTGCCCGCGGCTCCTTTTGCTTCGCGACGGCCCCTCCGTGAGCGCGTGCGTGCAGGCTCCAGGGAAGGACTTCGTGTCTGTTCTCGTTCTGTGCTCGCAAGCCTAGAATTTGATCCCATTTCACAGACTACAATGTGTGGCCTAGCAGGTTAGTAAAGCACAGGCACACAGCGAGAAGGTGGCAAAGTCAGTATACAAGTCCCTCAGTTCCTCTGAGTGACTCTGGTTTTACAACCACTAACGTCCTATTGTCTGACTCAAGCACCACCTAAGGAGATCTGTTAATTTAGAAGGTACCTGCTACACTGTAATCTTTTTTTTTTTTTTTTTTTCTATTTTTGACCTTATTGAATGCTTCAGTCCCTTGGAGTCCCCTCACCCTCACTGAGTAATCTCACTTGAGGTGTGAAAAGACAACCCAAAGACAAGGTTCCCATCCTTGGAGATTTCCTATTCTCTGCTGGGTGTGGTGGGTGGTGAGCAAAGCACGGTTTAAGAGAGCTATGTGGCCAAAAGGGAAGTGAACTTTGCCTTTGGGGAACTTTACATGGGAAGGATAGGGTAGGAAGAAACAGTTCCCATTTGACTCAGGGAAAGAAAACCAAATCAAACAGCGCTAAATATAGTCAGCTCTTTTTATATCAGTGACAAGAGTGGAAAAGTAAATATGACTCAAAGCTGCAGATCATCCCCAATTATTTCTGTTTGACTTTGAAAGGTGTCAAGGCTGAGAGCTGTCAGCTATGTTCACCTTTCTGCGGCCAAGACTGTTGTCAATATGGTGCATTTTTTCAGCTGCAGGGGGAGAGGCCAGAGGTGAGAATAAACCTTGTATGTGTTAGATGGCATTAACTTTTCTAGATGTTTCACTCCTTTATTTCAGATGGCCTTCTAAAGTAAATAGGGAAGGGGCCTTGAAGAAAAGTGTGCTTGCCCAGGAACACTGGCGACACCCAGCTGCAGAACTGAGACCAGAGGGAGTTCTAATCCAGCCCAGTGCCCTCTTTTCCTACAAACAGGCAGCCAGCCACTGAAGAGAAGCTTAAGAGCATGGCCTAGGGAGTGTAATTATAGGGAACAAAGTGCTGGTTTCTGTGCATTGTGCCGCCTTTGGGGTTCAAAATCTAAGCAGATCACCTTGCTTGATTGTTTAATACAAACAGCAGTTTTTTCCCTGATGGAGAGCCTTTCTGGGGGTAGGCAAGCAATGAGGCTGTTAAAACCCAATTCAGAATGCAAGTACAAGTCCAAAGTTCTGTAATCCAGCACCTCTGAGAATCTCTAGGTTAAAAAAGAGAACCTAATGAGAATCTAATGTCGTGGTACCTGCCTGCAATTCCAGGACTTTGGAGGCTGTGGGAAACCCTGTAATTGGCTGCCACCTTAAAATCTGCAGGCTGCACCACCTTAACTCCCTTGCCTACCTAGCTTGTTTGATCTATTCAGGAATTATGTTAATTAACCCAGCCTTATGAGCCTGCTAGCCTGGGAAATTTGAATTTGACCTATAATCCTTGGTCATGCCATTGTTGCTAAGTTACCTGTTGACTTCTCAGAACCCAAGTCCCTCTGTTATAACTTGAGCCCCGGTATAAAATCCAAGGAGGCAAGAGACCGAAAATTTAGTGGCAAAGGCTTTATTTCCAGGCCTGGCGACCAGTCTCCGGGAGCCAATTTGGAGACTGTCCCCTAGGAGCTGAAGGGAGGACTTTAAAAAGGGGCTGGAGGAAAGGGCGGGGGGAGAGAAACAAAGAAACCTGTAGAGCCATCAAACTTGTTGACCCGAGTCTGGAAACTGTATTGCTGTCCACTTAGCTCTGACAATCTAGGGAGTTTCTGGTGTTTTTTAAAAATTATTTCCATCCTGCAGACTGACATTATCTCAGAGTGGCACGTCTGCAGCAATATTTGGAGAAGAAAGTGGACAGTTAATTATCTCAGGACAGCTTGTCTTCGCTAGTGAGTGCGAAGGGGTCACAAGTTATGAGACGCTGGAACTTAAGTTTTATGAAGACCTGATATCTAACTCATTTGATACATACAGAACAAAAGGAAAGCACCGATTGGGGTTTGGGCCATAGTATTACCCGGTAATTTGTTTAAGCTAAGCAGTTCTTAAAATTGGGGCAGGCTCATTTTACAACAGATCATCACCGGGTCAGGGGGAGGTCACCAGAAACCCAAATTCTTTATGGCCTAGATAGATAGGTGAGGGGAGAGGGAGGCAATAAGGCGCCATACAGAACAGAAAACGGCGGTAATGTGTCAAGGTCAGGGTAAAGGGTTAAACTCACACGCAAATCTCTCTGCACACAAGCAGGTTACTTTAAACAAATGTAAGTTAATTGCCATTCTAGTTTTCCTTAGCTCTTTAGCAGAGAATAGAGGCTCTTAGCAGTGATTAACAACCCTTGTTAGCTTGTTTTAGCACAGCTTCTGTAGTTTGTAGAGAGCAACAATGGTTAACATATCAATTAGGTGAGATTCTTGCAATTCTTTACAGAGGAGAGTGTTGCTCAACAGATCAATTAGGTCCCTTAACATATCAGTTAGGGAAAAAGGATAAAACAAACACATTTAGTAAGCCCCTATACAGGTTTGCTATAATACACATATAACAAAGCTATTTTCTTAGGGTACAACACCTCCTCCTCAATACCCTATATATTTATTACTCCTTCCGTGAATAAAGGAGACTTGATTGGACTTCGTCTTGTCTCCATCCTTTGTGTCTCTTGTCCCCTCTTCATCTCCATTCCCCTTCTAGGGTCTCCGTGGACTTACCCACAGGCCAGTTCAGGAGGCTGAAGCAAGAGGATCACAGCCAGTTCAAGTCCAGCCTATAAAGTACACAGCAAGACTCTATTAAAAAAAAAAAAAAAAAGGACTAAGGATTTAGCTCACTGGCATAAGTGGCATAAGGACCAGAGAAAGAAACTGAAAGAAAAACTTTGAGGCATTCTGCTATCTCAAGACTGTTTAAGTTATCCTTAGATCTTGTATGATCTATAGTTTCTCTGTAATGAATTGAATTGTAGGCTACTAAGTATATATGATTACTTTTTACTATTTATTTTTGGTGGTGCTAGTGATCAAATCTAGGGCCCTATACTTGCTAGGTAAGTGCAATACCGTTGAGCCACATCCCCAGCCTTGCCAAGTATCATTTTAATGCCAACCTTTGCATAGATTTAAAATCACATTAGTATCAAACAGTCCTCAAAAAGGAACAAATTTATGGGCTGGGGATTTAGCTCAGCAGCATAAGACCTGCCTTGCGAGCAGGCAGTCATGAGTTCCATCCCCGGTACCAATAAAAAAAGAAAAAGACCAAAGAAAAAAAGTAACAAATTTACAAAATTGAGTCCACAGATAATTTCCTGGGTCCCAAGGGTACTTGTCTCTCCCAATTCCACTGTGAGAAACAGTTTTCCACTCTCAGTTCTAATTGGTGGAGGGTTAGCCAACTTATGCAGATATGCAAAAATACATAATCCTGTGTCCTTGTAGATAATTGTTATATTTTCTACAGTTAGTATCTAATTCTCAAATTTCCCCCACTGGGTAAACATTCCCAGCCTTCTGAGCTCAGGGCCAGAATAGGAGGCCTCTCCTCTTTGGCTCCACTGGTCACAGCACAGCTGAGGCACAAGCCTGTGAACCTGCATGGATGCTGCTGTGTGCAGACCCCCATTACCCCTTCCCAGCTGTTCCCCACAGCAATAGAACACAGGTTAAGCATGTAGGCCCCGGGGTCTGATCTTGGGGGCCTGATTGCTGGCCTCACCTCTGATTAATGAGCAACCTTGAATAAGTCATTTGATCTGGATCTCTCAGAGCATCAGTGGACTCATCTATAAGATAAATGAGATATATAGCAAAGCACTTAGGAAAATGGCTCCAGCGACACAGTCAATTAGCACACAATACTTCTAGGACAGTACAGTGTCAGGACAGAGTCAATACTCAGTCAATTACTGTTTTTTTTTTTTTTTCCCAAGAATTCAGCAGTGGTGCTATGATAACCAAAGAAAAATTTGGTAATCACAGAACTTAGTCCTTGCTGTAGCCCTGCATTATCGCAGATACACATCCAGTAGGCCCAGGAAGGTGTGAATCAGGTTGGGGTTTAAACCGTGTCACAGAGCATGCAGGACAGTTTAGGGCCAGGCGGAGGGCACACAGTCTCTGCTCTGAGTTCTTACCAGGAGGGGAGAAGCACCCAGCCTGACAGTCACAGTGAGGCATACTTCCTGAAGTGGTGTCTTCTGTTGGAAGAACTGGGTCCGTGGGCTAAATGTGAAATGGAGTCAGGAGACGGCCTTGCGCAGCTCCTGTGTCCCCTGGAGCTCACCCTCCAGAAGGGACCTCTGCCTCTTGACTATGAGTCAGGACCACTGTGGGCCCAGCCTCCTGGTTGCTGCTGTGGTTTTAAGAATGTGCCAGGTATTCCCTGGCCAGATGACACTTATAATAAAATTAGAAAAACCAGCTACACTTAAAAATCAAGGAACAGAGGCATCAGATGTGGCTCATGATAGAACACTTGCCCTGCGTGCAAGGATCTGGTCCAGGGATCCTCGGGACCACAGAATTTTTTTGTTGAATTAATTAATGTATAAATGAACAAATACAGGAATAGTGGGAAAGAGGTTATATGGTCTTGGGGAGGGGGTGGAAGAAGTAGAGGCCAGGAGCAGGACATGCAGCATCTCTGCCCCTGGCACTGTGCGAGACTGCTCAAGGTTAGACTTCCGCAGCCTCCCTTTGACCTTAACCCTAACCCATGGGACCAGTGAGCAGCACGGGTGTGATCCACGGCTTGTTTTTTGGTTTTCTTTTTGAGACAAAACTGGCTATGTAACCCAGGTCGGTCTCAAACTTGAGAGGATCTTTCAGCCCAGACTCTGGATGCTGGTACAAGTGTACACCACCATGCCTGGCTAATTCTTGTGCTTACAGTGAATCATGGGAAGCTGCAGTGCTGCTTAGTGTGAGAAGGCAACTCCTGAGCGTGGTAGCACTTTGGCAGGGGCAGTACCTTCCCCGCTCAGAAAAACACGGGTGAGCTTGTGCCTAGAATAGGTATCCAGTCGATTTCAGTCTGGGGTTAGGTTCTCTCTGCCAGATGGAAAGGACCTGTGCGAAAGCTTTTGGATTTGTTGTGTTATTTGTTTGTTTTGGGTATCAGAATCAAACTGGATCTCATGCTTGCCAAGCGGCTACCATGCCACTGAGCTCCATCCCCAGCGTGGGTTTGTGTTTTGGACATTTAAAAAAATTTTTTCCTTTTGTGGGGTTGGTGACAGTGTCCACCCTGAGGGCCGTGAGGACTGAGATAAACTTACAAAAGCATTCGGAAGTCTTAGTGCTGGGACAGGGATGTAGCTCTGCAGAGAGCGCCAAGGCCTTGGGTTTGATCCTGACTCTAGGAAAAAGAAACAAAAGAAATAGAAACGTGCAAATAGAACGTGCTCTGTGGACGTGCTCAGGGTTCTCACTGCTCAGCCTGAATTTACTTATTTACTTTATTTAATTTTTGCTAGTATATGTTTGCAGGACAGAACGATTACACTCAAAGTCTGAGCTTAAAATTAGGCATTTGAAGAGAAATCTGGGGCTGGGGATTTAGCTCAGCGGCATAAGCGCCCGCCTTGCAAGCAGGCAGTCGTGAGTTTGATCCCCCGTACCGATAAAAAAAAAAGAAGGGAAACCTGGCACGCACCGCCCCCGAGCCCGCCCACAAGCTTCCTTCCTCCATAGGGCCACACCCCTCTCTCCGCCCCTTCCGCCGGGCGGTTTCGCCCCGCCTCCGAGTCCGCAGTAAACCGCACGAAGATTGGGTCTTGGCGACGGCGGCGGCAAACGCTGTGCGGAGCGGTTCGCGGCGGAGCGGTTCGCGGCGGAGCGGTTCGCGGCGGAGCGGTTCGCGGCGGAGCGGTTCGCGGCGGAGCGGTTCGCGGCGACCGGGGCCATGGCCGTGACGCGGTGCGGAGCGGAGCTGGCGCGGGTGTAGGATTCCGTGACTGCTGACTGGACACCGGGGCGTGTCGCTGTCCAGGGCGAGTGGGTACCCCTGGGCTCGGGCCGTGCTCTGCACAGCTGCCGGCGAAGCTGCCTCCCTCCCGTTTCTCGCTGTCTAGATGAAGGGTGACAGCCAGGAAGGGTAGACTCTGTAGGTCGGGCGGAGGACGACACTAGTCGGCGCTGGTGAAGGCCCCGGGCCCGCCTCAGCCCGTAGCCGCACTATCTTGCGTGGGGGATTCAGCCCCGAGTGAACCTCCCACAAGCCCCGATCGTAAAGGCGAGGACGTGGGAGCCGTAGAATGTGTCCAATGCGCTTTTGTGGGAGGAGAGGGCAGATTCCACCGGGCATGAACCAGTCGCGTGGCGTGGCAGTGCCCGGACTGACCTGGGGAATGGGTTCGAGATGGGACGATCGAGAGACAACGGGCTGGAGCGGGGTAAATTCAGTCCTAGCAGCCCGAGGGCCCCAGTGGAACCTCTTCTGTTAAGGTTGTCTGGCCTTCGGAAACAATGATTGAGACCAATAGCTGGACTCAGATGAACAGCGAAAAATCACCCGCTGCCACGTTTTTACATTGACAACTAAAATTTTTTCTCTGAAAGTTTAAATAATCGACAGATGAGTTACAAGTTTTTTTTTTTTTTTTTTTTTTGTGGAACCGGGGATTGAACTCATGACCTCATGGTTGCCAGGCAGGCACTTATGCCACTGAGCTAAATCCCCAGGCCCCTCCCCTTTTTTTTCTGAGGTGGATGAAATTGTAAATATTGAAATTTAAAATAAAGCTTTCATGTTGCTCATTCGAGCCTGCAATGGAATCTCATATGATTCTGTTTCCAGTAGTTGGAATTCCACATCCCCCTTTTCCTTTTCATAGGTCCACTTTATTTCCACATAGACTTTTCAAGGCCAGTCGTTCAAACGACAGAACCAGACCTTGTCTCAAATAACAGTAGCAAAATTAAATAAATAAAAATAAAATGTTCTTTAAAAGCTGTTTTGCTCTGGGTGAGGTGCAAACTTGTACTCCCCACATGTTAGGTTGAGTTAGGACCACTGCAAGTTCAAGGCACAACTTTGAAACTTAGCAAGACTTTGTTTCAATAAATAAAAAGGGGTTAGTACTCTAGCTCAGTGTAAAGGTCTTGTTTTTTTTTGGTTTTGTTTTGTCTTTTTTGAGACAGGTTCTCACTATGTAGTTCAGGCAGGCCTCAAACTTACTTTGTAGCCCAGGCTGGTCTCGAACTCCCAATGATCCTCCTGCCTCAGCCTCCCTAGTGCTGGGATTACAGGCGTTAGCCACCAAGTCTGGCAAAGGTCTTGTTTTCAATTCCCCAGTACCAAAAAAAAAAAAAAAAAAAAATTATAGTAATTATAGTATACTCTTTTGGATTGAGTTTTACAATACTATTTGTTTTGTTTTGTTTTTTTTTGGCTTTTTGAGAAGGGCTAGCCTGGAGTTTGCAGTGATCCTCCTGCCTCAGCCTCCCAAACACTAGGATTACAGGCGTGTGCCACCACACTCAGTGAGTTTTATAATTCTAAAATACACTATTGATCAAAACAATATTAGTGGCCTGGCATGATTGTGCACACCTGTAATCTTAGCACTTTGAAGGATAGCTGTGAGTTTGAGGCCCACAGGGGCTACAAAGTGAGTTCAAGGCCATCCTGAACTGCATAGTGAAACTTTGTCTCAAAAAGACAAAAAACGGGGGCTGGGGATTTAGTTCAGCAGCATAAGCGTCTGCCTTGCAAGCAGGCAGTCATGAGTTCGATCCCCGGTACGGATAAAAAGGAAAAAGACCAAAAACGGGCTGGGGATTTAGCTCAGCAGCATAAGCGCCTGCCTTGCAAGCAGGCAGTCGTAAGTTCGATCCCTGGTACCAATAAAAAAACGAAAAAGACAAAAAACAACATTTGATAATAGCTAAAAAAAAAGTTTCCTTTAAAATGCCTTTTTTAAGTAGTAGGTAGCTTTTCTTTTTATCTTTCTCCCTCTTCTCCTCCTTTTGGAGCACTGAATCAAAACCCAAGGCTTTCACCCTGAGTTACATCGCCAGCCTGTCTATCTTTCTCTCCCTGTCTCTCTTTGTCTTTTTTTTTTTTTTTGGTACTGGAGATCAAACTCAACCTCACGCTTACCAGGCAGGTGCTTACGCCACTGGGCTAAATCCACTGTTTCTCTTGTCTTCTTGTTTTCTTCTTTCTCCCTGTTTTTCTTCTTCTTGTTCTTTGTTTGCTTTTTTGGGACAGGGTGTTGTTGTGTAGCCCATACTGGCTTTGCCTGGTTTTTCATGGCAATCCTCCTGCCTCAGCCTTCCGAGTGCTAGGGTTACAGGCATGTGCTACCACACCTGGCTCTTTTTTTATATATATTTTTGAGGCTAAGTCTCCCTAACTTGCTATAAATTAACCAGGTTGGGCTCCAATTGAATTCTGCCTCACCTCACAGTGCTGTAATGTGGGTCATCATGCCCAACTATCTTTTTCTTTTTTCAATTCATACATTCATGTATCTATGTGCATTTGTATATTTACTAGAATGAAGAGAGTTCTTTCTTTTTTTTTTTTTTTTTTACAAGGCCTATATATGCAGCCCAAGCTTGAAATTGAAGGTAAATTATTGTGGCAGTATCACTCGATTCTTTGAACACATCAGAAATCACAGGCTAGAAAATCATTTGGTAATCTGTCAACCCAACCGCTGATTAATAGTGATCTGTCAACTAAACGTTCATTGTTCTCAGACTTTGAAGCCAAGGCCTAGAAGCCACCGCCTCCTGGCAGGACTCTCACTAACTGAGTGACCCGACAGGTATGTGCTGAATGGCCCCTCTGCAGTGCTTGGGGGAGGCAGTGGGGCCTTGGGACTGGGATGGGCACCAGGAAAGGAGAGCCTGCAGGGAGATCCTGAGCTTCCTGGGCGGCCTGTACCAGCTGAGTTGGAAAATATCCACACTCCAGAGGTTATCATCTTGTTTTGCTGTCTTCAGAATGAGAGTAAATCAGAGATCTGGTTTCACTGGATTGTTGTGCTGATCAGATGGAATTGAGGACATCCTTGTCACATAAAGTACCAGACCAACTGTGGACAGGAGACTGTACTTACCCTCTCGCTTTGTAAAACAGGGTTGAGTTGCACTTAACCTGTGAGCAGAAGCTTTGACACATGCTTTCTCATTGCTTTGTTTTATTTGCAGTACTAGAGTTTAACCCAGGGCCTTCATACTGAGCTACATCTGCGGCCTCTTACTGTATATTGTAAGTCAGGGTGTTGATAGGTTGCCCAAACTAAGCTTCAACTTGCCATCCTCTGCCTCAGCCTCCTGATCAGCTGGAATCACGGGCCTGTGCCACCTCGCCCCACTTCTTGGAGGTTTTGAGCAGATGGTGACCTCTGGATTAGACTCTGAAGGCCCATGCTAGCTGCTGTGTCAGGAGCTGAGGTCCCAAAGTGGCAGCAGGAACCATCCAGTGGCTGTCGGTGATCCAGAGCAGGAGGGCAGTGTCTGTGAAGCAGAGGTGGGAGCTGGCAGGGCACTGGTACACGAAGGGTATAAGAAGGAAAACAGGGGCTGGGGATCTAGCTCAGCAAAGGGAAAAGACAAAGAGAAGGAAAACAGGAAGTGTAAGGATTTTGGCCTAAGCAAATAGTTTGTGTTTGCTTGTGCTTCTTTTACAAGTCAGGGTCTCACTGTGCTCTCCAGAATCCTCCTCCCTCCAGATTCCTCCTACCATGCCTCCCACAGAGCTAAGGCCACAGGTGCTGCTACTGTGCAGGAAGAGGAGAAGGCTGCCCTGGCTGTGACATGTCACACGCTGTGACATGTCACACTGAATTGGGTAAATGAGGGAACCTTGACCTCTGGTGCCTTTTGATCTTGCAAGACTACTGTATGTATCATTATCAATCCCACAAGTGGGAGGAAGCTGGATGTGATGTCCTATACTTATAACCCCAGAACTCAGCAGAGGCAGGATAACAGCCACAAGAGGCCAGGCTGGCCTACATAGCAAGACCCTGCCTCAAGAAAAAAAAAAGGAAGAAAGAAAGAAAGGAATTGGAAGGAAATGCCCAGGGCCACATGGCTGCTTCAGGGACAAAGCTGAGAGCTCTCCTGCCTGGACAGGCTCCCTGTGATCCATCTTGGCATTACCCCTCTGTGGGACACCAGCCCCACCCATTCCCAGCTGTTCTCTGGAGTGAGGGTCTGAGCTTGGACAGAGCTGTAGTTAAGATGAGAGCTATGTCTCCGCTCCCTCAGTGTTGGCCCTGCGAACTGACCCTGTGCCCCTCTTCCCATAATTGGCAGCCTGAGGAGGTGGTGACTTAAGAGGCCCCGCACGCTGGAGGATGTGGCTGTTTAAGCAGCAACCACTCACCAATAATGAAAGGCCAGGAGTGGGAAAGCTGTATAAAAATAGCACTTAATAGTTAACTGAAAAACAATATATTTTTGCAACTATTGGTTCACAAGAAAATAATTGGGTCCCAAGGCAGGGATGACTCATTTTCATGAATGATTATATTGATCATTGGAGGGAAATGGATGTGTCCCCTCTGGCAGCTGGCCAGCGTAATCACTGGTCTGTGAGGTGGTGGGAGGAGGAGCTGCTGGCTAATGAGCTGAGCCAGCGCGTGGGAGGCCACGAAGCCTGGTTCCACTCAGTCCCCAGAGCTTCCAGGGTGGCCACAGGACACCAGTTCCTTCTTGACCCACAGCACATTTGTTTCCCTTTTTCCCCAGGAGCAGCCAGCTAGCGGCAAGCAGCTTGTTCTGAGGGAGGGAAAGCAGGTGGAGGGAGAATGTGACCCGGGTGTTTCCCTTTCCTCCTCGGGACGCACTCCTAGTCCTGGTGATCATGGCCAGGCGTGGTGGCACACACCTACAGTCCCAACACTGGGAGGCTGAGGACTCTGAGTGTAAGTCCAGGCCCAGCCTGGGTAACTTAGCAACTTTGTGAGACTCAGACTCAAAATGAAAAATAATAAGGGCTGGGGATGCAGCTTGGTGCAGATACCCTGGATTCAGTCACCAGCACCGCAAGAAAAATGTTCCAGGGGGGCTTGTGGGCCATGGGCCTGGTGTGTGATGGGTTCCACACCCCGCACTCTTTTTTCTTCATCCTCGGCGCGTCTACTCTTCATATCAGGGGAAGTGGGTATCAGTAGCTAAAGTTCACAGATGAGGAAAAGACCAGCGTCACCTGTCACCCACCTGGCAGATGGTGCAAGGCTGCAGAGTGCACTGGTGCAAAGGCGGGAAACCAAACAGTAATAGCGATACAGGATGGGATGCATTTCCTGGGAGATGACTGAGCTGTGCTCAGGTTTGACCCAGTGCCCTCTTAGGTCCATCTGCCAACACCACAGCCCCTTGCTCAGAGCTTCCCACATGACGCTGGGAACCTCCTGGGGACAGGTGGCTGCTATTGCCAGAGGCCTGGGGTGAGCTAAGGTGACGAGGGAGCTGTGGACCCTTCTCCAACTAGGACAGAGGGAAGCCAGGTGAAGAGCTGCGTGCTGGGCAGAGTGACCCAGGTCAGCACCGGCTGGAAAGGGAGGAAAGAGTCCAGTGAGGTGGCTGGTGTTGGTGTTTCAGTATCACTAGGGGTTGAACGCTATGAGTGACGAGGTGAGGCAACGCCCACGCCAGGTGCGTGCCCTCCTTGTGGAGAAGCCTAGTGCGGACCAGAGGTCCAGGTTCTGATGGCCCGAAGAACTGCGAAGGCTTGGCAGGCCCTTCTTGTCCTGTCTGGGAGGATGGGGCCTGGGAGAGAAGTGAAAGGCAGCTTATAGCTGCTCAGTGAGAAGAGCCTAAGCCTCTGCAGTGGAGTACAGCGGGCCTGTGATCCTCAGCCTCTTGAGTGCGCAGCAGACTTGGGGTACAAATTCCTCCCCTGCCTCAGAGCCCTCGGGCTGGTGCCCGAACCCTGTGGAGAACTAGGAGGGGGCCTTGGCCTCAGGCCCCTGGGGCTGAGTGCCACGTTTCCTCCCAGCCCCACCTTGACTGCAATGACTCCACCACCTGCATCATGTTCCTGCCCAGGGCCAGGGCCACTCAGTGGTGTTCATGTTGGGAACCAGAGGTTGCATGACCCCTGGTTGTATCATTGCTTGGTGCCCAGGTGAGGGTTGGAAGCTCCTGTGAGGCCCGGCTCACTCAGGTCTAATGCCCTCTGCATCAGAAGCCCTGTCCTCTTTGCAGGTGAGAAAACTGAGGCAAAGGAAGACAGGCATGTGAGGCTTAGTGTTTATCACCCTGCTCAGGTCTCCCCCCCCCCCCCCGTGTTGTGGCTGGTTCTGTGGCCAGGTGTAGGGACTGGAACTCAGGCCTCTCTGTGGAGTGGGCTGGGCACGTCAGTGTTTCCTGAGGACTCAGGTCATAGCTGGGCCTGGCTTTGGTGTGAGTGTCCACAGAGGAGGTTCCAGAAAAGGGTTTTTGAGCCAGCACAGGAGGAGGCTGGACATGGGTTGTCAGGGTGGCCACCTGTCCCATTGCCTGGGGAGCTGCCTGCAGGCTGGGATGGGGCTTTGGGCTAAATCTTGGTCCCCCTTGCTGAGCTGTGAGGGGACAGTGGGTTCTTTGCAGACCTGGGAGCCTGGCCAAGGGTATAAGCCACCTAAGTGCACCTGTCTGCTATGGCCTGTTCCTCCCAGCTGTTATCATTTGCTGCTGCCCAAAGCCTTCTGTGCTCCCGAAGGGTGGGGCCCATGTTTTCCTGGGTCTCCCCCAAGGGCTCTGCTTGTCTGGAGCATCTCAACCAGCAGTGCAGGGTACATTAGGGAGTGCTGTTGCCACCAGCCCTGGACTCCCACACATGCTCCTGTTCCCGAGGCCATCCTCTTGGAGTCCAAGCAGCTGCCAGTGTGTTTCTGCAGATGGCCTTCAGGTACCCGGAAGGGAAACCATCCATTAGTGGCCCTGCCAGCCTGCGTCGTGCCCATTCTGCAGCAGAAAGAAAATATGGTGACAGCATAGAGCCCCTCTGTTGGTTCTGGGTCCCCTTATCACACATGGAGTCGCCCTTCTCATTTAGTATTGCTAGTGTAAAGTGAAATAATTCCTCACTCTCTGAGCACATTAAAGATGTGGGGCCAGCCTGGAGGAGGGGCCTGGGATGGCTGTGGCAGGACTTTCCTCTCTCATGTCCCCATTCCTCCCGCTGCTAAACAAAGGCTAGGGGTGGCTCTCAATCTTGCTCATGCCGGAAGTGCTTCACTGGGTCCAGGAGGGCCTCAAGGCTGCCAGCCAGTCCGGTTCCAAGCGTGACTGTGTGGCCTTCTGCCATCAGGGCAGCAGGCCAGGGCCTGTGGGGAGTGGCCCTGGGTGGAAAAGCTGCAGCCCTCGATACTGTGGAGTCAAGACTGATGCCAGTTCCCTGTGACAGGACTGCAGCTAAGTGGCACAAGGTTGACCGTTTTTCCAGGTAAACTCTGTCCTTACGTTCTGGAGAGAGCTCTTACCAATGACAGGTCACCCCAGAGCCTCTGAGCCTAGGGCCAGGTCTCCTCCCACTCTCTGTCTCCACTCCTAACCCCAAGGGCCCAGCCCTGACCAGCCGGCCTGCCTCTGTCTACAGGTCCTCTGGCTTGTTCCGTGGGCTACTGGCTGCTGACCTCACCTGCTTTCCAGCGTTTCCCTTCCTCCTGCTCTGGCCAACCCCCTTGCATCGATAATGTTCCTGGTGGGCCTGACAGGGGGCATTGCCTCAGGCAAGAGCTCCGTGCTGCAGATCTTCCAGCAGCTGGGCTGCGCAGTGGTTGACGTGGACGTCATAGCTCGCCATGGTGAGTCCAGAAGTTGGCCTTGGAGGAGAGGAGCTGTCTGGAGCCTTCTGGGCTCAGCAATTCTGTTTGCTCATCTCACCCTCCCGCCTAGCCTCTTTCACCATAAGAGGGAGCTGTGCAAGCCCCTCTTCCCTGCTGCTTTCCTTCCCTTATCTTTGCTGCATCCAAGGGCACACCTCAGGTTCTTGTCACTTCACCTCTGGACATTAGGGCCTGTGGCTCCAGGACTGACCCCTCCACCTCTTCCTTCCATAGTCATCCAGCCAGGGTACCCTGCCCACCAGCGCATCGTGGAGGCCTTTGGCACTGAGGTCTTGCTGGAGAATGGCGACATCAACCGCAAGGTCCTGGGAGACCTGATCTTTAAGCAGCCTGACCAGCGGCAGCTGCTCAACGCCATCACCCACCCGGAAATCCGCAAGGAGATGATAAAAGAGACCTTTAAGTACTTCCTCCAGGGTGAGAACCGGGCCTGTGTGAGGGGAGTCTCGGGAAAAGCGCTGGGCCTTTAGCCCTTAGGAGATGAAGAGACCCCAGAGGCTCACAAGGATCCACGAGAAGGATGTCAACTTTCTGGTAGACAGGTGTGATGGCAGCCAGGGACATTGCAGTCACAGACCTGAGGTCACGTCCTGGCCTGGTCAGTTTCTACCTTAGGGCTTGACAGAGGGGTCCAGGGCTACAGGCCAACTTCTCATCTCTGCCAGTTTCTCATCTCTGCCACTTCAGATGGCTCTTAGAATGGTGACTTGATTGTCACACAAACACGCTGCAGTGAGAGCAGCTTTAATGGCTCCTGGGAAAGCTAGTTTGCAGACGAGTTGGGGAAAGATAGCCAGGGTGGGCTCCAGGTGGGGGATTACCCCTGGGACCGGCTCCCAGAGCTTACTCAACAGATGTAGGGGCACCAAGGTATGCAGGGCCTTGAGGGAGGGGGCATTAGAGAAGCCAGGGTCTGTATGTGGACAGCAAGGGCCTTCCCAGGGTCACATGGGCGGCCCAGCCTGTTCCCACACCTTGCTGGCAGGGGCCGCTGAGTCAGTCATGGGATTGGGGAAGCTGGCCAGGGCCTCGGATCTTTCTGCCTGCGCGCCTGTCTTCTACCATCAGTCAGACACTATGCCTTGCTTTCTGGGATCTGTGGGAGCTTCCTAGGCTGTCTTCATGTCATGTCCATGGCCAGACCCCTTATTCAGTCATAACTCGGGCTTAGTAGAGGGAGGTAGAAGGGTGATACGTCGGATACTCATGCTGATACCCTGCTCTGTCAGCCCCACTGCTTGGGCCAAGTTGTGCTGGCTATCCCAGCAGCAGTCCTCTTCCTCCTCCCCAAGAAGGCACTGTACTGTGCCTTTGTCCTTTCTCCTGCGCCTGTGTCAGGTCCCTCCTGCACCCGCCTTGGGCAGAGCCTTCTGCCTTCCACGCCTGCCCTTTGCTTTTGCTCCCAGAGCAGATACCAGCACATCTGCCAGGCCATCAGGCCAGGAGCTCCTCGCTTCTGAAATGAGGTGTCATATAATGTCACCAGCACCGAGTGCTGCCTCCGTGTCACCCGCCAGCTTCCTGCCTCCTCCTCCACCACTGCTTAAATAAAAGCCAAAAAGCTCTTTTCAGCTCAATAAGGTGAAAAATGAGATGACAGCTGTGGCTTCTACAGTCCTAGCTTCTCCCTGATGAGTATAACAAATACAACTGTCAAAGTTGGTATAATCAGACATCAGATAAGATCACCAGCTGCTGGGGAGGACTCGGCAGGCAGACGACGTCTTCATAGAGTCAGGGTGTGTGCAGGGCTTATCAAAAGGCAGATGACAGCTGAGTAGCCCTCTGCTGGTGACTGAAGCCTAGCCACGGATCCCAAGAGGACCAGGAGAAAGGACAGTGCCAGGGAGGCTTTGGGCATGTGGGCAGAGGGGAGATAAGGGGACCTGGTCTTTTCTGCTCCAAGCTGGGTCACAGAGCAGGAGCCTGCACAGCCAGCCTCCTCCTGGGGGGGGACAGTGGCCGTAACAACTGTTTCTAGAACTCAGTGAGCTGGTGGAGTGTGCACAGGCAGGCCTCATTTCACCTTTCCCAGCAGCCTGTGAGGCACAGGTGAGGCTCCTGAAGGGCCAGGGTCACAGGCCAGAAGTGGGGGTATCAGCAGCAGCTGAAGCCAACTCCCTTCCCTTCGTCCCCTAGAGTGAATGTCTCCTGCGACCTCCCTGCATGGGCATGGTGGCACCTGGTTGTGTGGCTGGGGGACGTTGGGTGCCTCCTCTTGTCATCCACACAGAGTAAGGAGAAGCAGAAGCTGTGCCCATCTCTGGGCAGCTCCCTCAGATGGGACTGGCCACCCAGCTCTGCTCCCCACTAAGCAAAGTTGTCTGCAGCCTCCACCTGGCTTTTCCCTGTGAGTGTGGAGATTGCATGGGTTGTGTTAGCTCAGAGATAGCCCACCCTTTTGGGGGGTCTCTTAGGTGCAAAGGTGCAAATAGAGCAGAGACTTCTAGAACTCTCCCCAGTGTCCCACAAGCCTGGCTATGTCACATCTTTGCTCAGAACTCTGGGTTCAAGACCAAGGTGAACCAGCAGATATGGAGGTGCAGACTTGTAATCCTAGCACTCAGGAGGCTGAAGTGGGAGGATTGCTTCAAGTTCAAGGCCTGCCTGAAGTACATAGTGAAACCCTGTCTCAAAAAAAAAAAAAAAATCAGACGAGCATTGTCTGCTGTGGGCACACCCCTTTGGGAAGGGCAGGGCACATCCCTATGCCTTGGGCTTCACAGGCCTCATCCTAGGCTTCTCCCCTGCACCACTGGCTTCAGGCACCAAGTCCTCCCTCATCTCCAGCCAGTGCCATGCCATCCCTTGAGGTTCTCCCTGAGCTGAGGTGACTCAGTCTCCAGCGAGTGTGTGGAGCGGATTGGAGTCTCAGGTCTGCCCCAAAGACGACCCCTTCTCTGGGCGCTCGCTGGATGGCACCCCCATCACAGGAGCTGCTTGGGAGCCCGGCATAGTTGACCTTCGGTTCTGGCCTCTCCCCAGGGCACCGCTATGTGATTCTTGATATCCCGTTGCTATTTGAGACCAGGAAGCTGCTCAAGTACATGAAACGCACCATCGTGGTGTACTGGTGAGTCCGGCAGCCTTGGAGGGGGTTGAGCCCAGAACAAGCCCTGTGCCCTTGGCCTTGTCCTGATGGGATCCGAGATTGGGGCCTGGACAGCAGTGCCCTGAGCTATGAAAACAGCTGTGCCAGAGCCAGATCCACCTGGGGCAGATGCGGGCCTAGGCTCCGCTGCTCCCGAGCCTAAGGCACCCCATGCTGGCTGCCCTGCTTTCCAAACAATTCCACACTGCTGCTCAGGATGAGGTTGCTAGGGCAGGTACAGAAGAGACAGGGCACGCACTGGCAGCGCTATGTGGAGGGGTCAGAGCCTGGCAAGCAAGGAGCTTTGTTCTCAGAATCCCAGGCCAGGAAGTGCACAAGAATGCAGGTCTGCCGAGCAGCGGATTCAAACTGACTGGCAGAGAACCTGAGTCCTAGTCCCCAACAGTGGCAGATGAGGCTGCAGGGCTAACTTCCAGGCTGCCACCCACAGGGACACAGCCACTTGCTGGGCACCCAATATTCAGGTATTTGGGGCACCTGGAGGCAAGGCCAGATTGCTTGGTCACCATCCCCAACGACACTCTCTGGGCTGTCACTTCAGGCCCAACCTGGGATGCAGCATCCCCTTCCAAGGGCTGTGCCTCCCCTGCAAACCTGCACCTTGGTGCTCTTGTTCCCTGCTTATAGACGACATCACGTGGGCCGGGTGCCCATGATGTCCTCAGATCCTCTGTGCCTTGGTAGCACAGTGGATCTTTCTGCCAACGGTCAGAAACAGGGACTTTGGGTCTCAGAGTGAGAGAGGCAGAGTAGAGGTCTGAGTGCCAGTCACACTGTTACCAGCTCAGGAGGTTTGGCCTTCCAGCGAGGCCAGAGAGTTGAGTGCTGCTTCCTTTCAGCAGAGGATCTGCATGAACCTGGCAAACCACACCTGGCTGACAACCAGACCTAATGACTTTATAGTGGTGCTGGGGACAAAGACCCAGGGCCTCATGCTTTCCAAACAACTCTACACTTAACTGCATCCCCACCCTGATTATTCATATTTTTGAGGAATTTTAACAGTCGTGGCATATGTACACAGGCAGAAATCCCAGTGCAGTGATAAGCATCAGGCCTTCAACTCCAGTATCCCAGGGAGGGTGGAGGGTGTGGCTCCAGGCCACCTTCGTGGGGACAGGCAGCACCCACAGCCTTAGCTTCAAGCTGGCCCTGTCATCACCTGGGTCCCCAGCTCCAAAAGAAGGTTACATAAGATCCTGACCTCAGCGAGGTGGCCACAGCCCCAGCCCCTGTAAAAAAGATGTGCATTGTCACAGAGAACAGCCTCACTGTACCTGGCTGGGGCTGGTCTGCTGCCAGTCCCAGAGAAGGAAAGGCCCTGAGTTGGAAACCAGGCCCTGAGATGAAACCTCCCATTTCACAGCCCGGAAAGCTGAGACCCAGGGGGTGGGAAACAGTGGTGTGAACATCTCCTGGCCTGCAGTGGCCAGGCTCTCAGGGTGGGGGGCTGGCTGTGGCAGCCATGCCACGCAGCTCCTGTGTGCCAAAGGCAGGAGGGGGCTTCCTGAGAAATGGTGCATGGGCCCTGTCAGGTGGTAGAAGAGGCAGTTGCCCTTTTCTTGGGGTTGGGAGACCCACAGTGCTTCACTTAGTCTGCATGCCTGATCCTGCCCTGAGACTGGGTGCAAGTTTTGAGTCCTTGCTGTCATTCAAAGGCCCTGGGCTTGCCTGTCCCCATGCCTTTGGCACTGAACACAAGCAGACACCCTCTAGGTGTGGTGCCGGGTGAGGGCTCTGTCCTCAGGAGAGGGCATGAACGCTGCAACCTAAGCCCCAGGAACCTGCAGCAAATGCAAAGCCCAAGTGCAACATCTAGGGACGTGGGGTGCACTGATTACAAGCAATCCAGACCTCCCACACCATACCAAGGACCCAGGGGGGCAGAGAACATCACCCCCTCGCCATCCTCAGTGTGCAGGGAGCTCCCTGAGCCCCACCTCACCATCCAGTTCTCAGGGCGGTCCTGGCTGGGAGACCCTGTCCCCAAGCACCTGTCTGCAGCAGCAGGGAGATTGAGGCCCATGCTGCCCTTTGCCTGTTCCCAGCAATCGAGATACACAGCTGGCGCGGCTGATGAAACGCAATGGCCTGAGCCTCGAGGATGCTGAGGCCCGTGTCCAGGCCCAGCTGCCCCTGAAGGACAAGGTGCGGATGGCCAGCCATGTGCTGGACAACTCGGGCGAGTGGAGCAACACGCGGCGCCAGGCCATCCTCCTGCACATACAGCTGGAACGGTCGCTTGAGTACCTGCCACTGCGGCTTGGCGTGCTGGTGGGGCTGGCCGGTATTGCCAGCCTCCTCTACCTGCTTGCCCGCTGCCTGCTGCCTTCGCCACCCTAGCTGGGCACAGCCCTTGCACGCCTGGGTCTGGCTGGCCAGCCCTCCTCACTTCCCACCCCCCACTTTGGCGTCCCCTCCGGCTCTGTGACTCGAGGCCACACTGGTTAGACTGGGGACTTGGGCCCAAAGGCTCAGGCTTGAGTCCTTCCTGGCTTCTCCCCCATCGAAACCAGACCCCTTGTAGACTGAGGAAACCCTTTTGGAAGACAGACAGGGATGCTATGGCCAGCAGATGGGGAGGCCCTGCTGCGCCCTGGCTTCCCTCCAGGCCCCCACCCCAGGCCTCCTCCACACTGTTGGAGCCTGGAGCTCTCAGCACCCACTGGCCCTGCTGCTGCTCATCCTGTGCCTCCCTCCAGCGCCATGGCCTGGGACGTCTGCTGCCACCCAACCCTGCTCCGAAGGTGACTGGTTGGGGTCCCAGGGAGCCAGCCTCCCACATTCCCTATAATCTATGGGTGTCACCAGCGTGGAGCCTTGGCTCCTGGAGACATGGGCCTCTTGGAGTAGAACTTCCCTCCTCCTTGCTGCTCCTGCACTGTCTGCTCCAGTGGTGCTAAATAAAGTGTGATACAGATGCCGAGTGTACAGACCTGGTGGGTGACTCTGCGGGGCCCTGGCCACTTCCTGCCCAGGAGCGCCAGCCAGGTGCCCTGCACCTGAGAGAGGAGTGGGGTAGTCCCTAAACCTCCCATGCAATCACACCAGTTCAGGCATTAGCCCCCTGGCCGTGCTTGAGCCCTGCTGATACGTGGTTGTGCACCCGGCAGCCTGAAAAGGCCAGAAGTGTAGGTGACTGTTCCTGCAGCTGTAGCCACATCTGAGGCCCCTGCCCATCACTGCACATGCCCAGGTGACAGTTCTTCAACTATCTTTGAGCCCCTGGGTAGGGGAGAGGCTGGGCTCTGGGGGAGCTGCAGGACAGGGAAAGGGCTTAGGTGTTCCCATTTCCATTTTTAGAAAAGGGGACTCCCTGAGTGCCTGGGTTCAGACGCTGCGCTGCATGATGGCTACAGGACAGAAGGCTGTCCTAATGCTGGGCCCGGGAAGGAGGGGCTCCATCTGGGTTGCTGTGTAGCATGCCAGATTTCTTAACGGGAGCAGGGCCTCCAGTGGGTGGTCCAGTGCTGTCCCCCTGAGTGTTGTGACCTCCAACCTGGGGTTTCTGCTCCTGAGTGAGCTCTGTGGTGCTCATGTTGGGCCTTCCTACATAGAAAATGGAGGAACCTGTGTTGGTTAAAATCCCCAAGAACCCACAAAGTTGGAGGCTGAATGTCCCCCCTCCCCCATGTGCCTTGCTGTTCCCAAGCCGCCTTGCAGCCAGCAGGTGGCAGCAGGTGCCCAGGCTGAGGCCTTCTGGGCGATGAGGGTCTAGCTTTGCAGCCCCCACTCCAATCCTTGCCCCTTCCCTGGCCTGGTCACCTTGTCTTGGCCTAAGGCCACCCAGAAGCATGCATGCCCAGCCTATGGAGCACACAGAGCCCTGAGCTCAGGAATTTGTGTGTCCTTGAGGTCAGCGGTGTGGTGCCAAGGTGACCCCTAGCTCAGAGCTCCCCCACTGCCTGCACACCTGTGGGTGCCACCTTGACTGTTTGGTGTTCATCTCTGGGTGTTTGTCTCCTTCCTCATGGGGCCAGGAGGAACAGGGAAAGGCGTGGACTCTTGGTGACCCTTGGGAACCAGGTTGGAGAGAAGACAGCCACTATGGCCACTGAGGGAGGTGGGAAGGAGCCCTCTAGAGACACTGCCACCCTCCTGGAGCCCAGGTTGTACCCTGCTGGGCCTGGCACCTCTCTGCCTCCTACTGCCCTCCTGTCCTTGATCTACTCAGATTCCAATACAATTCCTGCTAATCAGCATGTCAATGGAACACGTGGGCCGTGCAGCACAGGCCAATTACAGGAAATCATTCCACAACAGAGCTTGGGCTCACCTGAGGGAGAGAGGGAGGGAGCGGCACTGGCAAGAGGTTGAGGAGCTGGGGATCATCCAGGCCTGGGCTCTGTTCTGGGTCCATTCCCTGTGCAAGGAGATCCAGGTCACAGGCCAAAGAGAGATGGGGGAGCAGGAGAGAGGTGGGGGAACGGAGGCCTGGGTGGAGCCCTAGGAATAGGCAGGCACCAGCCCTAACAGGTGGTCAAGGGCCTGGAAGCTGAGGACCTGTACCCAGTAAGGGCCATGCCAAGGGGCTCCCAGAACTGGGGTGCCTGGGGAAGAGGAAGACCCACTTCTGCATCCAGGTGGCTGGAGCGCAGAAGAGGACAGTGCCCTCCTCATACCTTCTGGCCCCTCCTCTGGCTCCTAGGAAATGTTCCCTTGGTGCCCAGCAGCCCAGCTTATGGGGAGGCTGAGGCAGGAGGATCCCAAGTTTAAGGCAAGCCCAGACAGCTTAGACTGTCTTAAGAAATGAAAGGGGCCAGAGCATAGCTCAGTAAGACAGTATGTACCTGGCATGTGGCAGGCCCTGGTTCCAATCTAGGTTCCAATTGGCGGAAGGACCTCGAGTCCCCTGCACTCTCCCCATCCCACCCACCATCATGACTGTCCCAGAAAGACCTTCCAGCGAGCAACTCTTTCCAGGCCCCCATCCTGGGTGATCCTTGGAGAGCAGGACCCCCATGCATTCCCTCTGCAGGAAACTGGGTCACTGTGGGAACCCTGGCAAGAGCCCCTGGGACCAGGACTCTTCCTCTGCTGCAGATGCCCTGCAAAGGCCTGGCAGGGTGTGCAGGTGCTTCAGTGAGAGGCCCTGGCCCTCTGCCCAGCATCCAGCATGGGGAAAAGGTGAGGCTGGGGGCCGAGTTCCGAGGGCAGAATGGCCTGGTGTGTCCTCTGCCAGTACCTGTGGGCCTTGTCAAGACCCTCTCTGTATTGGAAGGGACCTCCAGCCATGCTGGCCCAGCTGACGCCCCTACAGTCCCTCCCACAAGCCCGGTGCCCAAGCCAGTGATACGCAAGGGACAGCCAGCCCACTGGCGTGGTGGCTGCTGCCTCCCTCCTCACTGTTCACTTTTAATTGAAGTTTGTTTGAGCAGAGAACTGAGCAAGCAGCAGCAGAAGCCAAATATTTAGTTGCTACAAATTGGCACCTGCAGATCAATTACCCGGTCTGGGCCAACTGCTGCATCTCAGCTGGCACTCAGTCCCCACCATGTATCACATGCAGCTGGCCAGGGATGGATTCCTGATGGAAGAGAGTCCCCAAGAGAGGACTTGGTCTCGTAGATCTGGCCCGGTCCCTTCAGGACCTGCTGGGTGGCCTTTGGGAGTCTCTGTGCTCCTTGTCCAGGATGCCTGTCTGTATGTGGGGTTGGCAGTAGGGGGGACACAAGGCCTGGCCTTGTCGCTTCCACCCATGTGAGTTCTCTGCGGAGGTGGGGGGGCGGGGAGTTAGGTGTGGAGTGAAGACAGTGGTCCAGCCAGGCCCTCCGGGGAAAGCTCTGGCCCAGCTAAAGGAAGAGCTGGGCCCGGGGCAGGGGCCAGGAAGAAGGAAAGGACTATCCCAGCCTGCGGAGGGGAGGAGGAAATGATGTGGGGGGAGGAACCCTGACCCAGGAGGGTCTAGTACATGCAGGGGAGCCCCTGTTTCCATCCCACTGCTGTGGAGTTGCTTGGCCCTCAAGGGTGGCAGGGCTTGGGTGGTTCCGTGTAAGGGTTGTAAGCCCCGGGATTCCAACACGAGGGTCTGGGCCACCCCTGCCCTATCCAGGTCCCCGGGGTCCAGGCTTCCAGGCTGATAACTACAGCAGCCCACTCCCCCACCTTGATTTGCCAGCTGTGAAGTGGGCCCAATGGCCACAAACCACTAATCATAATGTGTTCTAGAGATTGCTGAACCCAGGACCCCACCTACCCTACTTTGCCTGGAACACAGAACCCCCACTCTGGAACTGCCCACCCGCCATGGGCCCAGCCCAGAAGGCCTCCTGACAGTCTAAGTCTCTCACTATCTCCTCTGGCAAAAGTGTAAAGGACGAACAGCAAAAAGATAAATGCTTATGGGTAGGTGGCCACAGTATTTTAGAAAATACCCTCCAGAGGGCCAGAAGGAGTAGGGATTATCTTTGCACAATGTTCTTTACACTAAACATCTTGGTGATAAATACAGCTGTATAATTCTTTTTTCTGCTTGGCAGGGAGAAAGGCAGAGAGACTCAGAAATATAAATCAGTGTGTGACTTTAATATATGTGCTCTCAGTGGCTGTGTGTGTCGGGGATTATTAGTAACCTTGATTCTAGCTCAGTGTCCACACGAGGCAGGGGACATGTGTCCCCCAGGGAGGAGGAGAGAAATTAGGAAGCTAGATTCTCCTGATTGACATGTGGGTAAACATTATCCTGGCAGAAGGGGAAGAAAAAAGATCAATTCTGGGGATGTTTTATCATGTTCCAGGGATGGAAGGGGAAAAATCAAAGGAACTGTTGTCTAGGGTGGTGGCCCGAAGTGGGGGAAGGAGGGGATTGAACCACAGGCCACACATCAGCTTGGGCTCTAGAGCTGCAGGGGGCCGTCTAGGTTCTGCGGGGTCCCCAGACTCCTGAGGGTGGCAGCTGGCAGCAAGCTGAGTACCAAAGGAGGCTCTCCTGGGGCATCTGGGACTGAAGTACAAAAATCCTACACCTCTGTCCTGTTGGGCGCCGTGACCTTGACCCAGGTGTTTGATCTCTGAGTCCCCTTTCCTGGACTGTGGCCTACCCACCGCTGGGCTCTGCACCAGGCAGAACATATTAAATGCGGTGGGTCCTTATAAATGTTCTTGCAGCCATGTTTAAAGGAGAAGAAAATACCTAAAACAAATTGAAATTTTTTTTTTTTTTGGTCTTTTTCCTTTTTATCAGTACTGGGGATTGAACTCACAACTGCCTGCTTTCAAGGCAGGCGCTTATGCCTGCTGAGCTAAACCCCCAGGCCCTGAAATGTATTTTTAAATTGAACCCAATATGTCTAAAATATTACCATTTTTGCATGTGGCTCTAGTCTCCCACCTTTATCTCTTTTTTTCTCTTGTTTTTCTTTCTCTTGTCTTGTCTTGAACTCAGTATGTAGCCCAGGCTGCCTCACACTCATGGTGACCACTCTCATGCCTCACACTCAAGGTGAACTCAGCCCCCTGAGTGCAAGGATTGCAGCGGTGCACAGCTGTCACATTTCAGTTGCTCCAGAGCGGCAGGCCCCACTGTGACATATTGGGCCAGCACCATTCTAGGATAAAAAGCCAGGATAGCTGGGTGTGGTGGCTCATGCCTGTGATCCCAGCACTTGGAAGGCTGAGGCAGAAGGACTGCTGTAAGTTCAAGACCAGCCTGGGCTACAAAATGAGCTCAAGGCCAGCCTCAACTGCATAGAGAGACTGTCTCAAAAAAAAAAGAAGAAGAAGAAAAGAAAAGAAAAGAAAAAAAAGAAGCCAGGGTAGGGCTCCTGCCCCGTGACAAGACAAACTGAGTCCTCTTTCCTAAGGGGTGCCAGTGACCAGCAAAGATCCCCTTGGGCCCACAGCTGATCCCAGCTTGCAGGCAGGGCACAGGCCCCCTCTGGATCTGCAGTCCTATGGGCAGTGCCCTGGACACGTTCTGAGC